TGATAGCGTTCGCGGCGATCGATAGACCAATCGAAGCTGACCGACGTAATTGAAACCGCGTCGTTAATTTGTCGTCGGGCCAAATGAAATATACATTGCGACCGACGGAGGGTAATTCACGGAACAGAATTAATGTGTCGCGTAAGAGCTGAAGGCCGGGTCCTTTGTCGGTTAATTGCATTACACCGGCTCCCTGTTAGTCGATTTTACCTTCGACGTTTCATTCACGATGGATCTTCATTTGCATGGGACGACGCCGATCGTTACCCGCCCACTGGCGACACATATTTTCCTGCCACCGGAATTCACAGGGTTAATTCACACGGTTCCGCCATGTAATATGTAACCGGCCACTTATGATTTCTCGCTGCAGTCGTTCCACCAGTGCCGCGCGACATGAATATTGCACGAGCCGCGCTCGCGTTGTCCTTTGAACTTCGATCCGCTCGTATTATTCCGCGTCAACTTTTCTTTGCCGGTCGCACTCGGTTTATTTATCTCACCGTTTATTTACTCCAACGCGTATCGAAACACGGTGGAATAATATCCATATTAATCATCGAACGTGTTCCTTCCATGAATCGACGACGGTTAATTAATCATAGGAAAAATTACACCCAGCGAGCCCGCGTGTCCTTCCCGTTTATTTCACTGTTTGTCCGAGGCGTTTGGAAGCCGTCCAATTTCGACGGAGCGACGCAACGTCGCAGATTTATACAACGCGTTACAGGTCGCGTCTGTTTTGTTACTCCAGTTCCGAATTCTGATAAATGTTCGTTCGGTGGAACGATGCTTTTTTTTCTATATTCATCCACCCGCCGTGGAAGCGGCGCGCAGCCCGGACGATTCACCGGCGAAAGGCCGGGGAATTCGTTCATAATTCACCGGACAATTTATGAAAGGGTCCGCCGCGCGGGGCGGTCCGGCGATATCCAAAGTTCTAACGCTTAAATCATACCGATAGTTCCGCGGGCCGGCGCCGCGAGTTATTCATGGACTTCGGGAGGCATCGCGAACTTGTTAAATCTGCCGGGCGCACCGCCATCGATGTCAAATTGTTCACATAAACACGCCGGAACGTAGCCGGGATTCTGACGCGGGGGCCTGTCCGTTCTGAATTTAATAGTTTGCCCGTGTCCGCCGAACCGATACCATAAATTCCGATCGGCGCTGCCCCGGAGCGCGACGCGCACTTTTATCCCCGCGGCACGCGTCGCCGAGCGGATTCGTATTCCCGGCTTAATTCGCGGCGGTCCGCTTCGATCGCCGCAATTTTATTTTAATCGCGATCGGGAAACTCCAGTGCGGAAACGCTTAACCCGCGATTCCCAGTTTATTCCTGAGAACGCGCGCTCCACGAGCGACGAAGACGAACGGGGCGAGCGTTCCCGTGGTATCGAGCTCGTCGGCGCAGGCATATGCATGAGACAAATACACAGCGCAGCTTGCACCGGCGTGAATGACGTTTGCAAGCAGTTATCCAAATTTACATTTCATCGATACGACACCGGTGGCCGTGTGTACCTGAAGTAGTGCTCGCCTAAATACGGTTAACCGTGTTCCCCGATGGCCTCTGGATCTCTCTGTTTTATGTAGTGCCGGCTCTGCGGGGCTGCACGGCTAACAATTATTAGGGTTGCTCGGTAAATGTGTACAAGTGTTGCAAATGGACGCGAGGCATTGATCGGCGAGGGTTCCGTATACTCGTTGCAGTCTAATTAGAAATTGGTGGATCAGTTACGCGTCCCTCAAGAACGGTTCCACGGAAATATCCGTAGGCGATTTGAACATCAATTTTCCTAGGAACAGTAGAATAAAGTATACAGTATACATTCGTACACCTAGCGAAGAGAATCAAACTTTATCTTCGATTTCGCTCCCGAATTTCCTTCTTTCGATCATTTCCATGGTTCTTTCATCGAAGCGTTGTTTGAAAGAATCCTTATTCCGTTTATTCACGAGCGACTAAGTTTTTACGCGAGGAAGCATCCCCGTTCGAATAAATCCATCCAATTTCATTCCAATTTGCTCGTCCGCGATTAATTGCGGGATACAGAGATAACAGCGCTCACAAGCGCAGTAATAAAGCGCATCCGCTAGTTTCACTGGACAGCGAACAAACAGCGGATAACGTAACGGAATTCCGCAGCGTGTTCGTTATCCCATAATGCCGTACAAAGAAAAGCGATGCATGCGAAACGGGCCGCGAGGAACGGGAGGGGGAAGGTTCGCGGCGGTTTGCTACGGTTTGAGCTATTCGGCCCTTTGAGCGCGCGGCCATACGATAATGGACAGAGCGGAACTCGATTCGAAGAGTATTGGATCCGCGGCAAAGGCGGATTTCCTTAATGAAAAGATTCAATATGAAATTCTACGGCGATGCTGGCCGCTTTCCCCCTCCTCCTCTCTCTCATTCTCCCTCTCTCTCTCTCTCTCTCTCGTTCCCTCTAAGTTGCCTTCTTGTATTTCCCTGTTTTACGGTTGCGTTACCGTGCAACGATATACTTTTTCGATCCTTTGATCGATCTCTTTCGCCGGGGCTGAACGATGTCTCATCCATTTTAATTGCCCCCTTTGAAGACGGTCGCAGCTTGCAGCGCGGCTACCGGTAAATAACGAAGCAACGTACTCTAGATTTAATTGTAATTCCTCGATCCCCGGGAGGACGTTCGATCTCCGCTCCCGAGACCTCGGCCGCCCGTAAATTGCCACCGCAAGGATAAGGAGCGTCGAAATGGGAATCATTGGAACGTTATTGGCTTCGGCCCCTCGCGGCGGGCGTACATTGAATTTCATCTGGCCGGTGTATCGACGTTTATTCCGTCGGAAATTTCGATTTAATTTCTCCCATCGAGCCGCGGATTTATTTCCGCGCAGCTTTATCGCCTCCCGCGATTTTCCCGTATTTATGAATCTTTATCGGCCGACGCGGAAATTCCCGGTGCGCACCGGGCCGATCCAAGTTACGAGCTTAGGTATTTTGATACTATAAAACTGCGCGGCCCGTCCGTCGGCGCAACACGTTTCAAATGCATTCGATCCAGCGTCTGGCTCCGATTTCAATGACACGGGTAGCCTGCTATGTGCATATATATACCCCTGTACACGCGCGTATGTACGTATTTCTGCGGACATTCGGTGTACATAGGAGTCACCCTTACATAGGAGACCGCCCCGCAGTTAGGGACGGCAACCTGGAAACTCCCTTAACAGTATTAACATTTCAGGGACGTGCTTGAACGGGATTCTGAGGACGCCAGAAATCGATCTCCAATAGATTATGTCAACCACAACCGATACTATATAGAGAGCTCACACTGTAGGCTCGAATGTCGATATCGCTGCTTCTTTTCGCGTGACTCCTAGCGATATAAACCCTTGTAAACGCTAGAAGGTGAACGTTATCGACAGATACACGAGTAAATATGAGAAGTCTGACACTAGATTCACAGATGTTTGTAACGCGGTTATTCTATTGTTCCTAGGAATTCGTCAATTCGAAATTCTTTCAAATTGTTAAAACCACATTCAGTGAAAGTGGATCGATCCGCATTGAATTACACGATGTTCGCTTAGCGTGTATTAATCGTGACAGCTCGCGCATCTGTGATTCGTTTACGCCTCGCGAGTCTGTTTCGCGCAGCCGGTTTCTCGATTAAAGCACTCGGCGAGGAAACAACGTTAACAAATGAATCGCGGGGAGATTGCTTGTCGCCGTTGCCTCGCCGGACGACGTCTCGCCCGCGAAGGATACGGAGAAAGGCGGAACAAGTTCCTTATAACTCGCACCCGTGTACACAGTTTAAATTTCTATTTACTTTCGCCTCGCGAAAGGAGTTTCGCGGGACGCGAACAAGCTAGTACAAGTTTAGCAACACCCGGGAGAAAGAGTAAATGGGTTTCCCTCCGCTTGACATGGCGGCTAAGGGCCCGCTATTATTTGCGAAACTTTTCTATCCCCGTGTCTTTACGCCGGCGCTCTGCCGGCGCCTTTAACAAGACCGAATGTAACGACGCCGAGAGCTCGGAATGGCGCCGCGCGTCTCGGCCACAGTGTCTTGTAAGTCGAATGGAAATGACACTGTAATATTTCAATAATAATATCACCCGCCGCTGACAGATCCAGGCCACCCTGTTTCGCGTGCGCGAAATACGAAAGCGGACAAGTCGAAATATATTTCGAAAATGTTCGCGTCCCTTCGTTTCCCCCGGAAACAATGATATAATATCATGGTACTTTCGAGCGTCCCTTTTGCTCGATCTAACAAGATCAAGAGAAGCTATCGTTCCCCTTCGGACAATCTTTCGTATCAAATATCCGGCAGCCGATTTTCCACGAAGGAAATCCCGACTCTTCGCGTCTCCGCCGGCGAGCTTCGACGTTTCGGGTGGCGGAGGAATCGAATTGGTCAGTTTCGGCTAGAACCTATTTCGAATTCTCTAAACCGGCGCCGATTCGTTCGTCTCCGTAAAAAAAAGAGCTCTCCGTTTTCCGGCGAACGACGTCACAGCTTCGATCGCAACAAGAGGAGTGTTTTACAACGTTCTTCTTTTCCATTGGAGCGGCATTCGCATTGATTCGCGTCCGGTCCGAGTCAGGTTACGAGCGACGTTAACAGCGCCTGATAAATTCCTGGCAGCGGAGCGCAAAGCGAGAGAACAATTTTCGTTCCCTCCGCGAGAAACGAAATTGCCGCGCAACGAGTTCCAATTCCGTTCGCAATCATGCCCCGCGTTTTGAATACTCTTTTGTTTCGCGCGGAAAAGACATCCGCTAACCTGGAGCCGTTCGGACACGGGGAAAAATGAGGATCGCGGTGGAGTTCCCGCGAGAAAAATCTGCCGCGCCGATGGAATTTATCGCGAGCGAGCCATTTAACGAGCATCGATCGCATCGATCGCGCGCTCTTGGGGGGAATCGAATTTCCAGCGGGTGTAGAACAGCCGACCCGGTTTGGTAATTAGTTTGATCGAGCCGAACGTTAACGCCCATTGCTTACCTGGAGATTGGGCGGGCAATGATCAAGGAGTTCCAGCATGTGCCTGATGTTCTGCGCGTCCTGAATCACGAAGTTCAGCTCCATGTCGAATTCACCGCCCACCAGCTGTAAACAGAACGAATTCGGTGTTAAATACTCATCCGTCCATTGTACATCGATAAGAATGTTACAACCTTGATAAAAATCATTCTTACTATTACATCAGATCGACCAAACAGTCGAAAAGGAAACAGTACGTTAAATGAAACTTCATTGACGTATTACGTATTTCGTTCGAAACTCCTCTATCTTCCACTTCACTCGTTCCCAATACTTATTCGCGCATTGCAATGCAAAACATTGAACAACGGAATCTATTCTATTTATTTCAATCTCCGACTTATCCGCAGACCAAACGTACAACGGTCGCGTCGCGAGAGATTGTAGAACAAAATTGGGAAGCCAGAAGCTCGAAAACTTTTCGGTCCGCTCGAAACTGGAACGAGTGGACGCGACCAACCGAAATTTTCAGCTCCGGAGCGTTCACGCGCCATTCGCGCCGGGAAATTTATGTGTTTTCGACGCGAGCGCGGGCCCGAACCCATGACTTATCCCCCACGGACACCGGTTGTCGATAGATCGACCCGGAACGCGGCGAAGAGTTTACGAAACTGCGTATATTTGCGGTGTCTCCTTACACTCGAAACGGTTTATGTACGGCCAAACCGGAAGCGCTGTCTCCACGACGAGAGCGTAATTTCCGGACGAAGTATCCCCCCCCTTCTCCGTCCCCGTTGCCATTGCCGCCGTTATCCTCTCCTCAGCCGAACACCGGTCCCCTTCCACCGATATCGATCATGAATTACTTATGTACCACCTACGCCCGCAACGGGATCACGAGCAGCCATTTTTACGATCGTGGATCGCTCGTAAAAATTCATGGATAACGCGAGGCCGTTTATTAAATTGATAAAAAAAAGGAGAGAGCAGGTAAACCTATCCCGCGGAGGGGCTTACCCGAGCAGAAACGGGAATAATTTTGAGCCGAGATGATACGTGCCGCGGCGCGATTTATGGATCATGCCGGGTTTAATAAAAAAATTCTCCTCCAAGACCGCCTCGCGTCTCGTCACGCCGCGGAATATCAGAAGTATAGGGAGGCTCGGAGTATCGGTGTACATATATCTTAATGTGATGGGACATTTCCGAGACGCTTTGAATAATGTACGCAATCTAGACGGTCGAATGTATTCGGAAAATTCTGCTGAGTCTCCCTTGTTACCTCGGCCATTGAAAGGTGTCTATTCACATCGAAACCCTTCGAACACAAAGTTGCGGCGTTCAAAAGTTCCCGGCGAGATCGTTCTTGGAACTTCTCTTACACAATAAAGGCTTTAAGAACTTTCTGTTATTACGACACGTAGAAGACATATTGCACGAGAGGATGAAAAAATCAACACCATCTGTTCTTTGTACATATTTCTTTGGAAATAAATGGTTCACGTTCAGAGGTTTCCGGTCAGAGTGTTTGAAAATGAAAATAATGCTCTGTGTTATAAGAATAATTTAATATGTAGTATTCAACACATTATACTTCGTATTTTGGGGAAATTTGCATTAATGACAGCACATCGATCGACTCAATACCAAAAACGATCAAGTCGTGAATTTCGAATCTTTTACTTATACATATTGTTTTCAATTAAACGTTCCAACCTTTCTACCCAAAGGTGCCGTAAAATGCAATGCTTCGGCTCGTCCTTTGAAACGCGAGGTTACCGCGGCTGTCTCCTCCCGTTTCGCCAGAAGTAGGGTCGAGTGGCGTGGATGACTTACAGTTTTCGTTGTCACGTAACCGTCGTTCACGAGCACCCCTCGAGAAAAATAAATTCCGCGGGAAAAAATGGGGAGCGGCGTTATTGCCGCGGAGAGACTCGGCGCTACGATTTCACGTGCGACGACGCCCAGCCACCACCTTCGAGATGTGACCCCGACGCCACTAGACGAAATTCCGGGCGATCGTGTACCAGGGATCAGAAGGGTGGCGGCGGTGCGATGCTGAAAAATAGAAGGGTTGCTGGAAATATCGATCGTACGATGTTCGCCAAAATACCCACGATGGATGTACCGAAATGGGCTTCTGCCAACGAGATTTCGCGCAGTCCTCGAAATCCAAGGCACGGGGATGTTTTTCTCTTGCTTATCGCTTTGGCCACTGCGTCATCCACAGGCGAATGATTTTTCTAGCGGATTTATTTTTAACGTGCTCTTTCAACATAGCTGCTGCCACCGATGTCCAGCGCTTGCGAGCTCCTCGAAAATAATTATAAGACGATTGATAACGAATAGAAATATTTAGAAACGCAATAATAAGAATATCGCGTTAAGTATTGGACACTTCCGTTCTCTGTTTGTTTGAAGAGATTGGATGAGATTCAGAGGGAAGACTTAAGTTTTAGGTGGCATTAATATTTCGATGAAAATGGCACTTTAAAGTGATACAAGGGGTTAAGGTGTCTTGCGAGGGCTAGGTACAAGGGGGCTGTACAAATAACAATCTTCTTTGATCCCTTCCGCAAGCTCGCCTCGCGCGCCCTACATTCAAATAGCCACTCGACAATTCTAAAAGGAACGTGTTCCAATATCACGAGGACAGGAAGCCTCATAAGAGCTTCTCTCCGAAAAAGTAATGTCGCGACTACACTGTTTGCGTTCGACGAGCACTCGCTGCTGACACCGTCGCTTCGAATTGATTGCGATGTGCCGGACAGACTCGATAGCTCGGATTGTTCTGCTCGACAAACGTTCGCCAACGAAGTTCCCGTGAACAACCCGTGTAGGGGACACACAAAAGGTTCTTTCCGCCATGTCAGACTGTCGATGGAAGCCGAAAAATACAAGAACGATCAGTCTTAACGATTCACTGAAAGATCGAAGTCCCTGCTCAGCGTTTTCGCGCAAAAACTGATACACGAGGATGTTTCTTATTCAACGCCATTTGTAATTAATTCTCTGTAAATCTGATTAATCCCAAGGTAATAACGTTTCGACTGTTACTGTTAAAATTACCGCGGGACCATTCTCGTTATGTCCGCGTGTAAGTGCGCGTGAACGTGTGCGAGTGCGGTTCGATCGTTCACACTCGAATTCGCGGGAGAATGGACATGCGAGGGAAGGCGGAATGGGATTCGGTGAATTAGGGCTGGCCAGCGGAGCCGACCGCTAATTGGATACCACTTGCTTTTACACCTTCTATGTTTCTGTCAGTCGAAAACAGCCAGCCGGCACGGAACGTGCCAAATGTGCTTATTCGGCAACGAAAACAGTGGCCGCGGTGAACTCGCGAAAGATATAGAGCGTTATTAGACGCAGCCGCGTGAAAATCTTTTGACAGGTGTGTGCAGCCCGACGGAAAACCAATGAAATACGATATTCACCGTGCACGCTCGTTGTCGTCGAAACAATAGGAACTTCGCTAAGTTCACGGTTAATCCCGAAAATTCTTTCGTCGATTCGTATCTTCGCGTTGGAACGTTTTCCTTTCAGTCGAGTCCCAGCGCTTTTCTCTCTTGTCCTGCGTCGGATCAGGATGATCGATACACCTATCCGAACTAGGTACACTCATAAAAGCGTCCGGTAGCGATCGGTGCGCGAAACTGTTTGAACTTTAGTTAATACCCCGTTATTATCGAAACCCAATACCTAATCGCGAGCGTTCCCCATCGTTATTGAAGTATAATTTATTACGGACTAACCATGGCTCGGAGCGAACGGGTGCAAATAAATGTTCCCGGAAGATCGATCGTTGTCGTGCCGAAGTTACCGGTATTTGACGGCGTTCGCTGCAACGTGAATGCCAGTTCACGCTGTTCACGTAGGCGGCCCTGATCGAGTTACCCGCGAGACAGCGCTTCGAAGCTTGTTTGCGCGATACGGAGGGCTTTCAATTGGATTTCCAAGAATGCGTGGTACCCGGCAAAAATCCTCTTCCTCTTTCCACCGTATTTTCGTAACGGTATTGATAATAATAACCAGACCGCGGATCTTCGTGCATTGTTGGGGAATTTGGACGTTCTAAATTGCGCAGCGCACACGCGGTAGAAATCAATATACAAAATATCCGAAGTACAGATTAATGTTTCTTATGTAAAGCCATTCTTTATCAGAATTTAGTTCTTCCAATTGTATTCTGAAGAATTTGAATTTATTTCCCAGCGTGTCGCTACTTTCGGATGGTTGTAAAATACCAAAATCGAATGTACTTTAGGCAACGTTTTAACAGAAATTTCCTAGGGAGCTTTTCCATGCAGAATATTTTTGTATTCAATTATCTTCGCTGTAGTGGCGAGGTGGCGTATATTTTTTCTATTTCCATTTTACACTGCCGTACGTTTCCGAATGTTGTTTTATTCTCAAAAAGGGAGTGCAGCGCAGGGAAATATTCAGCGGAATTCCGACAATGGAACACGCGGGCGATTAACATCGACAGCGGCTTGTTACGATGAAAGTTTTATCCGAAGAGTCATGCATGGACAGAATGATTCGAACGTGTATTCCGAAACGTCAGTTCTCCAGCGAATCACTGTCAAGAAGCGCGCTCAGAACAATGGACTGAATTTGTAGTATTCATGTCGGCTTGTACGCACTGATTACACATACGCACACGCATAGAGTGGCGCAAAGCTTCGCGATGCGTCGAACGACGAGGAGGTGCTCGGGCGCAATTAATTCCATTAAGTTGATCAATTTTTGATTGAACATGACCCTCGACTAGTCGAAAACACATGTGCGGAATGCACTCCACTTAATCGGAATTTCGAGTGTGCTCATTTTTAATTTAGGTTAATTTGCCCTAAACCTGTGAACGCCGAATTTAATCTTGGGTTAATTACGGTAATCGTTATCGGTGTATTAGTGTAATTTATTTAACCGGCTGTAGTGTTTGCTGGTTGATTTCAAGTGGTACTACTAGAAAACAGGTCGAGCGAGTGGTAATGGAAAAGGATAAATCAGACAAGTAGCAGTTTCAAAGAATAAATCAGAAAATTAGCGATAAGTAGATTTCCAACGAAGAGTAACGTTATATATGAAACAAGTAGTCTAGCCAAACAATATATCAGACCAGC